TTTTGTGAGCTTTGATATCTTTAGCGTGTAATAAAAAAAAATGGACACAGTTCAAGAACCACATTGTATTATTTGGTTTTGATATTGAATCTGGTGCAGACAACAATTAAAAAGGCACATGTCAAGATTATTTTTACAGGATTGAAATGTTCAGTAAAGTTCAGCGAGTTTCTCGGACCGGGTTTCCAGGGTGGGACGCTGAAGGGAGAGGCGGACAATCCGGCAGTGTTCAACATTCCAGTTATTAAAGGAGCCGAGAATCTGGGAGGAGGTTTGTCGCTCCACTGATCTGAGCCTGGATGGTGCTCGTAGAACAGACCGTTCTCTTGTTTTTCCTCCGATATCGTCGACAGCTGGTGGATTTATTGGAGGTTGGACAGGCAGGTGAGCAGCTGATAGTCAAGTGTGAATTCAAGCAGAGCAGGAGCGCAGCACGGGGAGCATCCAGGAGAACAAGCTCTGCTTCGAACAAAGAGACCCAGGAGGAGACCACAAGCCATGACTTGATCTGTCAGGAAGAAGATGAGCGGCTTTCCGAGTAGAGAAACAAGCTGGTGCCAGGATGAGTCAAGCGTAACGTAGGGGGGGAAAAAAGAAAATGATGTTTGATTATGTCTTGGTGGGAGTGAGATCTGGTGATCAGGATGAGCTGGTTCATCTATAAGCACCTCCCCGATGAGGCTGATGGGTAGCAGCTGCGAGCGACAACCCCACACACACACATACGTCCAGCTCAGCCTGAATTTAGAGACCAAGGAGGTGGAGCAATTGTTAATTTTTAATTCCTAAGCACGTGAGCCTTTAGTTTGTTCATCAAAAACAAAACAAAATGCATAAAAAAAATTTCAAACTTAATGTGTAAATTCAGAAATGAAAGACAAAGCAGGTCAAATGAATTTAGATCAATGTGAAAATCCCATTGAACCACATTCAATGTTAGACTTTTTACCTTTTAGTAATTGAAGGAAATGAAACTAAATTAAATGTTTCTTCTTTTTTTTTTTATTACTTTTCCAGACCTTAAATATTAGAAAAGTAGATTCCTTAATTTTCCAGATGTGTCAACACTGCATAGGAACTTTCAGCAAAGATCCCCTTCACCTTTTTTGCTCCTCTGGTCCCCAGATGGCAAAACGTTTCCGCCATCTTTGCCGATTCCTTTGTTATCTGTCTGAAGAGAGACAATAGCTGGGAGGGAGACGCGGCAGGCAGTCTGTGGCCTTTGAAGCTCAGTGACTTCAGCAGATGACAAGGAGCCACTGCTCCCAGCTCTCTGCAGGGACAAAAGTACAATTAATCTGCATGTATATCTCTGTGGACTCATTACTAATTGTAAATGTAATGATACCATGCTGGAATCTTTTAGCGTCTGATGTGTCTCACTGATTGTATTAATGAAATCCCTGCTGAACTTCATCTGAACCTTTCAGATATGCAGAGAAAGAACACATTTGGTACAGCTGCTGTATCAACCCGCACAAGTGAAACAGAAACCTGGCCGGAGCAGACTGGTCACCTTGTTGTTCCTGAAAGACAGAACTCCAATTCCCTTCAAAGGGAGGAATATGTGCCTCTCCGATGCCAAGGCTCGGTGCAGCGCCGCCAGAGTTTCTCTAACGCAGCCCTCCACGACGTCTCGACTGTAGGGCGTCTGCTGCGACACGGCTGCGAAGTTCAGAGGCACTACAGGCACGTGTGCTGCTGGAGCGGACAATACACGGGTCGTCTTGCTTTTGTATTTACCGTGTAACTTAATAAATACAATACAAAAAAAACTCATCCAACTGAAACATATTCACTGTCATTTGTCTTCACTGTTTCTCATTTACAAATTTTTAAACCCCACTATTACTTCAAATCAAGGTAAGACTGTATCGTTTATCAAATCATCAGACGATTTTCAGTGGAAGTGGTCAATAAAATTACAATCTGTTTTGAAAAAGCAAAGGTTTGACTTAAGAAAGGTTTCGACTCTAAGAGACTATGTTGTCAGACAGTGGAGATAAATGTCAGCGTTGTTCTAGCCTGGTAAAAAAAAAAAAAGAAACAGCCCCCTTATTCAGCGCTTTACTTCGTATAAGTGTATGGATGTTCAGATATTGAGAAACGGTGGACCTGATTTAACCCAATCAATCATATCACGTTTGGCTGTGATGTGTGTGACATGAGCATGAAGATGGCTACACTATGAAGCTGACTGGAAGTCGTGTGCACTGTAAACAACCTCATGGGGAGTAGGAGCCCACAACGTCTTTGCTATCTCTGCCAGCAATAAAATGTCTTAAAAATTTGTCTTCCTCCGTCTTTTATTGCTCAATACTTGGGAGCATGGCCAGCATGGACTGAATGGCTTCGCTCACTTCTTCTGTTGTCTTTGCCAAACTACCATCGTGGGCAAACTCCAATTTTGAAACGGCACAGAAACTTGACATCATTGTTCAAAACTCCTCCTTCTCTTTGCCGATTGGCCAGAATGAAATGCATCTTGAGAAATCAAGCTCAATGGGGCGAATCCCTGACATAGCACTGGAGGGAGATGAGAATCGAGCAGAATGGTGTAGGAAGGCAATGGCCATAGCAATGGCTAGTATTCTTCTAACAGTGTTGTAAGAACTAGCTACTGCTGGCTTAGAAACTAATTAACCTGTTATTCACGAGAGGACCCAAATTTGGGTCCTCTCGTGACAGAGGTGTCAAACTCCAGTCCTCAAGGGCCTCTGTCCTGCAACTTTTAGATGTGCCTCTGCTGCACCACACTTGAAAAGAATAATTAGGTCATTAGCAAGGCTCAGGAGAACCGATCTACACAGGGAGGAGGTAATTAAGCCATTTCATTCCACTGTTTTTTACCTGTGGCACATCTAAACACTGCAGGACAGCGGCCCTTGAGGACTGGAGTTTGACACCCCTGTTGTGAATGACAACCTGTGAACAACAGGTTAAGGACTTCCAGAAAGTTTGATCCGTTTCAGCAAAACTCGACTCCCTTAAATCTCTGCATCATTTCCTAAAAAGCTTGGGAGATCAAATCGCATCCTGGGAAATATCCAGTTTCTTTGTCCTCATAATGATAAGACTTCTTTTTTTATTTCGTTCTCTATTTTAGGGGGTTTTCCAAACTGTAACACAGCTGTGTTTTGTTGACATATTTGCAGATAAGCACAGCTTCCCAGAAGAGGGTAGAACTGGTAAACGAAAGTTTAGCTAATATGATGCAGAATCAAAGATTGTCAGCTTTTATCAGTCTGTACAGTGCTGGGAAAACGGAATGGGTCCCTTTCACAGATTCCTTTGCTTTTTTTGTCACATTTGAATGCTTTGCATCATCACACAAATTTCAACATCAGACAAAGGTAACCTTATGAAAAACAAGCAGTTTTCAAATGATTTCATCCATGAAAGGAAAACAACAACCAGGTCTGATGAGCGCCATACCAGGAAAAAAAAACAACAAAAAATCATTTTAAAAAGTGACGACATGAAACAAGCTGCAGTTATAGAGAGAACCTAGAAAAACTAATGGCACCAGGGTTATTACTTTTTCACAGAAAAATTTGGTTGAGACTTTCTTGAAATTACATAAATCACATGATTTATTTTGTGTTTGGTCTTTTCTTTGTCCAACATTAACATTTCTCTGAATGATGCCAACATTAATATGAAAGCAACAACAGAACAAAGTTGTAAGGAAGAACATAATTTCTCACAGTACTGTAAACAGATACTCGTGTAGAGTTACTGCAGATTAATTATTGCTCTTGAGCAATATCTCCCAGCTCCAGTTATCCTGAATGTCGAGGTTTTCGGCTGGCCGACTTCTCAGGGGCTACTGGTCCAATAGAGGGAAAACTAAGCAAAAGACACGCTATGCCAAAATATAATATTAGATTTTTAATTGTGCCTTAGTTTTTTCTTTGCACATTTGCTCACCTTTGGCCAACCACCTGACTTGGTGTAGCCCTAAAGACTGGGATAGTTTGCCTGCCAAAATGAAGATGGGATGATGGAAATTAGAGAACCTGTGTCCTGTGTTGAAATTCTGCAGAGAAAATGTGAAGGTCCCCAATCCTGATAGGTTGACCCCCTGTTGAAGATAGATAGATAGATAGATAGATAGATAGATAGATAGATAGATAGAGAGAGACATACCTTCTGCAAGTTCATCTGACGGCGTATATAGAATGATATTTCTGTCCATATACATTCAACATCTGGAGTGAAAAAAACAAAAACAAAATAGTCGTCATATATCCTCGCTTTTCTGTACAAACTGCGCCGAGCAACCTAAACTATGAAAGCTGGTAGAAAATGAATAACCACGTAGCGTTATTGGAAGAAAAATATACCGTTTTTCGACAAATGCAACAGACCCCGCAACATCCGCTTGTCTCCTTCGGACGCCAGCAGCAGAATGTTGCTCATCTCAGCATCTCATCAAGCCTCGGACCTGGAGAAGCTTCAGAAAGACATGTGCATTTTGAAGACGACAGACGCGGAGAGTTGCACGAGTCATGCAAAGAAAAGAAAATCAAAGATCGGACTCTTGATTTCTGTTGTCGTTACAGTAAACCGCAACTTAAGCCTAAATTGAAACCTACAATGTCCAGGAACATGCGTCATATTTTTACTTTTATTTGTTTATTGAATAGGCAGACTGATTGTCGTGGGGGAATGGTTATATTAATGATAAATAGCGTGTGGCGTACACATTTAAAGAAGCAAAAGCAAAAGCGTAGAGGACATTCAATCAGTTGTGGACTGCCTGACAACTTCAAGTAGCTGACACAGACCAAGGAGAAGGGGGAGGATTTCTAGGAAAAAGTCACTTCACGCATCAAATTCATTCACACGTCGCAGTCAATCCAGATCACCATGGAGGTGAACGTTCTACTGACACTCCTTCTTCTATTCCTGACAGGTAATGTAATTTTTATTCTTTACACTATTTGTTGACCTGTGTTGCATGTATTACTACGTATGATGTATTTTAAATGTCAAGTACTCTGGTCAACACCTGCTGTTAGGAATGTGTTATATAATTTTCTTTGTTTTTTCACAAATAAAATTAACTATCTGTAATCTATTTGTTATGTCTAGTAAAATGTAAACAATTATGGAGCCAGTATTGTTCATACCGCGATAATAAATTTTTCTTACTTGAAACTGATAATCTGTGGAGGAAGCAACAGATTAGGACGGTGGCAAGGTGGGGGGAAGGGTCTTTCAACCTCAAAGACTTGAGGCTCATTGTAAAAGATAAGGATCCCAATGTCCTCATGCTGAGCAACAAGCCTGTTCATGCGTTTAAATGTCGTGAGAATTAAACAAGCAACAACAAAAGCTTCACCAAATTGTCAGCATGAAAATTGCCCCACCCGAAGATTAACTAATTTGAGCTCTGCAATGTCTAAATTGTGTTTACTTAAAAGTCAGGCAAAAAAGAAAAAGTTCTGCACTGAAGCAGTGCCAAAATTCCTTTTAGTCAAAAAGTAACAAGACTTGTTTTCACGTTAATGGAAAATATGACCCTGAAACTATGCGATGTCTAGTGTTGTCATGTGCTTGTGATTCACTATGGAGGCTCCATGTAAATATTTTCTTTAAGTTGTTTTTATCTTCAATAGAAACCGTTGAATTAGACAGCGCACTTATCACTACACTATCAGAACCACATAAAAACTTTCCTCTTCTGTTTTTGAGTTTGTCTCTGAACCGCTAATTGATTACAGGCTGCAGCTGCTGAAGAGTGTGCCGTTTTCATACTGATTTATTTTGCCTACATCCAAATCCAACCAATAAATCAGCTAAAATCTGACTCTCTGTTGCAGGAGTATTTTCACTGAGACTTAAAACTGTTTACACCAGGGCAGGGGAGATGGTGGTGCTGCACTGCCCTCAGAAAAATGATCCTAACACAAATGTTCTGTGGACCAATCAGACGAGACAGGAGATGAATCTGACCAGCATCATGTCACCACAATCAGCTGATTTGAATCAGATGGACGTGCTTCTACACGGACACAGCCTTGTGATACTCAGAGCCTCTTTGAGCCATCAGGGAAATTACTCGTGCTCAGTTAGGTAAGACCCTCAAAATTACATTTCTATCTGAATACCAGCATACATCATCAATTACGTGTGGGGTGAATTACAGAAATAAGGGCTGGCTCAGTGTGTCATCTGGATGCCTGATCAGATTAACCCGGGAAGTTAAATCCTTACGTCTTCTTCAAGCTGTTCCTTACACGTCTGCTGGGTAGGACCTCTGTTCTGAAAGAGTCCTGAAATAGGTGTCACGCATTGTTCAGCTCAGATCGGAGTCAAGGCAGCCTCTACATTTGTCTTGTGGAACATTGTGTTCAACAATATGAGTTGTTGATGAAACCTGTCAGTGGTTTCAGTAGTATCTGTTGAGTTGCTATATCTGAACATAAAAGCCTGTTATTAAGCCTGGAAACATAATATCTACATATTTAGGTTCACTTTCAGTTTTAGACTCATTTATCATCTGAACATGCAATTCAAAACTGTTTTTGACCCCTCTTCACAAAGTCATTTTAAAGCATAATCGAGTAACTATGTTACCTC